CCATTTTGCTTGCTCCCAGGGACCATTTTCCAGCTCTTTCAGTAGGCCTGCTCTCAGTGTGACTGCATAGGTGTAACTGGAGGGACAAAATGTAGGCCACACAATTGATTTTCATAATATCCAAGGTAATAATTAATATTAATGAATAATGTTGTCAACAAATTTTGCCTCTTATTCTGCTCATGAATGGCCAGATTTTCCAGACTGAGGACCAGTAATTTCCATTGTTTTCAATGAGAACTGTTGAGTCCTACTGAGAAACTGGTCCCAGGTGGATAGTCATTATTCATTATTTAAAATTCTTCATCTGTTCTTATCCCGTAGCTTATTTAAATAGTTTTGTTGTCCACTGTTCAAAACTAAAGCTGTTTAGGTGGGACATAAAGGTTACTTGGTATGTTCCAGTTGAATGTCACTCTTAGAATTCCATTGTGAATACTCATGATCGGTCATTTGACATTTGCTTTCCTCGAATACAGTCAATTATTCACTTAAAATTCGCTGTTTTGGAGAACAAACCTACCTGTTAACTCATTTTCTGGAAGATCCATGGAAAATGAGCACATAAAAGGTGCAAATAAAACTGAAGCAAATTCCCTGTTCTGTTCTAGTCTTCTTGCCCCACATATAGTGAAAATATTGGGGAAAAGAGAGAGAGAATATATAGATTTGGTCCATACTGCATATCATTGACCCAGTGCTGCAGATATTTGCATAAATGAGTAACATTATGCGTGTGAATAATCCACTGACTTCAATGGAGTCATGGCTGCCAAGAATTTGACCCGATCAGTTCATTCATCCAATCCAAAAAAGAAAATAAACAGTTTTCACAAAAGACAGTGAGTGACAAGAATAAAATACAATGAAGATGTGACTCAATATTTTAAAATGTCAGCTGTCTAGTGGTTTAAATGGGGTGCCTTGTCATACTGTGTAACAAAGCAGCAGTACACATTGCCTAATCTACCACTGGATAATTCTAGGTTTATACTGGCATAATTCTAATGGACTCCATGGAGCTACAATGGTGTCAACCTGGAGTAATGCAGTAGCTGGCCAAAGTGTATTCAATTTAATTATGCATACAAAATAGGCATTTATCAAGAAAAAATATTTCTGTTGTGTAGTAAAAACAAATCCTGGGGAGAGACATCATAGCGTGAAGCTAATACTGCTGAATTGAATCAAATGTTGGTGTAAATCCTAAAAGTTTACTTGGAAATTTATGTCATAATTAAGCTTGAAAAGAAAACTAAGCTCTCTACCTATGTTCAAATATTAAGATGGGGATCTGAAAGCACACTGAATTTCCACGTAACAAGGCTATCTAAATTCAATTAATGCTGCAACTGTTAACCAACTGGAAACCCAATGGAAAGATTTAAATTAATTCTTGATTGTTAAAATACTCCTTTGGACTCTGCGTCTTATTTATTCTGCAAATGGAATTGAGAATCATTTTATTTATCTCAGGAATTCATGTGGTATGAGCAACAAGAACCAGAAGGCAGGATGAATACATTTATGGACAAGCTGAGCTAGAGAGAAGAATTCTTAGTAGACAAAGGACCAGATCTGCAGCTGGTGTAAATGAGCACAACACTATTGTCTTCAGTGGAATTACACCTATGGGCCCAAGATCTTTTCTAAACCAATGAAGAAAGATTACAGGTGGATTATTTTTTGCTGTGTGTGCTGGTTTTTCTTTTTTCAGAATGGGGTTTGTGGGTGCTTACATTTTTGCTCTTACTGTGCATTTATATTTCTCTATATAATTAATTCCATTCACACTTTTATTTTCTCTCACTTTGGAAGCATGAAATGCCTCTGCTGGCTATAGATGCCAGGGAAAGCGTTATCTTCATATTAGATTTAAGCATTACAAAGAGGCTGGGAGGGAGGGGAAGACTGACAATAGCGCCATTATGAAATTACATGGCTGCTCATTGCAGAAGGATTGGAAGCCTCAAAAGAATGTAAATTTTCAGAATGTAAAATCTATGTTCCATGAGATTGTCTGTTACAAATAAGTAACATTAGCAATGAATGATAAATAATCTGGCCCTGATTCCAGCAGCTTGGTGCTGCTCTGGCAATGCAACAAATCCAGAAACTGGAGTGCGGCCAACTAGCAACTCCCAGGACACTTTTTGCCTATATCTTATGTAGGGACATGCCTGGAGAAGAGAGAATATTCCAAATGGATTGAACAAATTTTACAAGCTAGAATGGTAAATGCATACAGCAATGATGCTCAGAAGATTATGGTCTCTGCGTGAATCTGGAAAATGGCCATGCACCGCCTGGAAAGTTGAATCCTTTGAGGAACATGGGACTTTACTGTGTGCTCAGAAAACAAGATACACCAAGAAATACCAGAGCCCCTGTTCATTCTGTACTGGGAAGGCAGAAATTTTGAATCAATATGGGATCCTGGCATAACTGGAGGTGAAGGTAAAGGAAAAGAAAATGATCATTAAATCTTCACAATGAAGAAGACTCAAATGGAGTCAACGTCCACTGTTTCTCCTCATATTCTGCAGAATCTATATACTGATAAAAAACCTTAATGAGCAACGATGTTAATTGCGTCAGTGTCGAACTATGGAAATCCAGAAAATCTGTGTTGCCACTGCAGTTAGATATGGCCTATTGTTCCTTAAAAAGCCACTGCCAGACTCACGTATGTTCCAGTTTGTTTGGCCACTGGAAAAGACCCACACATAACCAGACTCACCCACCACCTGGGTGGATTCATGTTGGATATACATAGTTGAATTGTCATTTCTAACGTTATATACCTGCTCCTTTGGAAGTCAGTGGGAGTTTTGCCATTGATTTTCACGGAACCAGGATTGAAACTTTTACTTAGGTTCACACATGGCTAGATTGAGTCTTTAGCCTTGGTTCTGAGTAAGGGGAAATATGCAACTGCTTTGCCCCAGGAGCAGAGTCATACTTCCTCACCTGCTCCACTCTTACTCAGGAAAGGGGGAATTCTGAGAATTACACCCCTCAAAAGGAGGCAGCTAACATCCCAAGTCTGGTCAGCAAATAGATGGGGAAACCACCTCTCTCCAGACATTTACTCCCAGGTGATGTATCTGGAGAGCAAGGACTGGGCTTCACCCCATTCTTAAGAAGCACATGGGCCAAACAAGAGTACATGAGTCCTCACTCACTCCTATTCCCTTGCTCGGCTGAGTAAGTGATGGGGACCATTTAGCCCATTATGAGCATTATTACTTATAGTCCGGTGCAACTCAGCCAGCTTGTGTCACATTAACAATTATTGCATGTGGCAGCATTTGGGCCTTTTAGAGTTTTCAATATTTGTTTTCCCACTGCAGAAAACAGAAAGACACCTACAATTTCCCAGAGAGTTCTTCCTGCTTTCGTCCTCAGGGTGTCCTCACTATTAATCATAGGATGGCTGGGTACAAAGGAAATGCACTAGGCATCCATAAAAGCAAGTTACAGTAGAATAGCAAAAACATCCATGAACAAAAGGAAGGGAGATAAGGACATCGTCATCACTTAGCAGGTAAAAATAATCAGGAGGCTGGGGCTGAATTTATGGTAGCAGAAAGATAACAGGAGTTGATATGACTGAGGGGGTGGGTAATAAAGGAAGGAGGGATGAGAAGAATTAGAGAGACTGCAAGAGAAATCGAACAAGAGGGAGGAAAAGGGAGAGAGGGATAGCGAGTTTCAAACTGAGTGAGTGAGGGAAATTTACAGTGAAAGAAAATTACCTGGGAACCATCTGGAGTGAGCTTGAAAAAAGACCGGTAACTAAAAGACAAGGAAAGGTAACAGAAGTGCAACTATAAGAAGAGAGAGATGAATTGGGTAGAGGGGACACAGTGACGTGTCCTTAAAAGCACAAAATAGGAGAAACAGAAAGCAAGAATTGGATACAGTGGAAGGATGGTCTGAGGGTTAAGAGTGGGATGCAGGAGATCTGGTTCAGTTCAGTTCCTGGCCCCATCACAGACTTCCATGTGTGACCTTGGGAAAGCTATTTAGGGCTTGTCTAAGTGAACAGTTAGTGCATGGCAAGTGGACTAGCATAACATTCACTCTCTTATGTGGATTCTGCTACCGTGCACTAAAAATTCCCTAGTGTACTTTGATCTACTCTGCTTTGAAATGGGAGTAGGTCAGTGTGCACGAGGGAACTTTCAGTGCGTGATACCAAGATCCACATGGACAGTTAGTGCACAGCATACTAGTGTGCTGTAGATTTATTCCCCAGCTTGTCATCGCTGTCTAGACAAGCCCTGAGTCTCTCTGTGCCCCAGGCCCTATCTGCAAAATGGGGATAATGATATTTCCACCTTGTCTATGTAGACTGTGAACTCTTCAGGACTGTCTAATGCTAATACTGCTTAGCACAATGGGGCCCTGATTTCAGCTGGGGGCGCTACTGTAAAACAAATAATAAGATTCCTAATACCAGGGATGAGGCATTAAATAGTCATAAACACACATTTTTTGGTGAACACTGATAAAATTTTATTATTCATCGTAGTGCAATTTTGCGCATTGCTGTTGGACACATTCTTGTCTCAATACACTTCAGAAACATTACCTTTAAATATACCAGACCGGGGGGAAGGAGGGGGGGGGCGGGCGCAGAGGTAACTCGGCGATGCTGATTGATTTGCCATTTTATGAAATAATTTATCCAAAGTTAATTAGAATGGGATTGTTTTTTCTTTGCACAGAAATCCATGGGAATGGCTGATATGAAGAGTAAACAGCTACATTTTTTAATGTGCTAGGATTTAGTGATTTTGAGCTACATTCCCAGGGGTCTGTTGACTAAAGGCATCTATCTCGTCTTCTCAGTAGATAGCATGATTAGCACCTGTGTGTAAACTCCAGTGCGGGAACTTGATAAGAAGTTCATCATCTGGGCACCATGTGGGCCAAAGGAGATGTGCCAAAGTGACCAATTAGAACTAGTTGCCTTCCTGTCCTAAACGGTGCCCAAGCATAACTGTACATTGATCAACAGCTGCACCATTCTGCTTCAAAGGGGCTGCAATTCGGTGGTAGGTGATTCCTCCAAAAGTTAAGTGTGGAAGTGGGGCAAAATGAGCCAAGGGAACAAAGGCCCAGATCCTAAAAGATATTTAGGCTTGATTTCAATGGAAGGTAGGAGCCACCATACCTTTGAGGATCTGGGCCAAAGTGCACAGTACATTGACTGTGTGAATGAGAGAGGCACTCAAACCAAAACCCAAAGAGCCAATGAAATCCAAACTCTGAGGAACACTTTTGCAAATAGCCCTTATCCATGCAATGGGCCAAAGAAAACCTTTGGGTCTGAACACCCTGTGTTAAAATCCAGCTCTGGATCTGAGCTCTGACTTTGGACAACCCAGGTACTATACATCCTAAGGCTGTTGCCTGGGCAGAGTTAGCTCACCATTTGGGAGCACAAGCCTTTGGGGATCTGCTGATCAGCTCATTGATCCTACTGTGGCACGGTGAGTGGAATACTGATCTAATCCATGCCTCCTTTCTTACACTCCCATCATTCAACCCCAAGTCCCAGTAGCATTGCAGCCACCAGATATATCCAATCCCCCTTGATCAAATGTGGAAGAAAGGGAGAGAAGGAATATATGGAATATCCTCCTGCCTCAACTGCTTGTGTAATAAAAAGATGAGAATACTCTCCCTGCCCTGGGGGGCGGGGGTGGGGGCTGAGAGTCTTCTGGGCAGCTCTGTGGGAAGGTTCTGACCCCACGCCCAGGTCTCAGGGGGCAGGTGGGTAGGGAGACCCACTGTGCCGGGGAATGTCTTCTCCCAGCAACCAGGAGGGAGGCGGGATACATCCTCCCAGCAACCAAGCAACTTACCTTTCCCCATAAAATCCCATTAGTTAGTCCCTATTTCAGAAGATGGCCAGCGGTGCTGTGAATGGAAGCTGCTCCCAAAGTACTCAGCTGGTGTCTCCAAAGCAAACATCTCTATGAAGATTCATATAGGTAGCAGGTGTTAATGGGGACAGGGGTTGTTTTATTAACTCTGTTTGCCAGAATTTATTTATTACTGCACATGATTACAGGGGATGCCTCTTTCACTGCAGACTGCTACTGAGTTGCTGCTGCTGCCTGCTGGATGGATGGATGCTGGAGAGATTATTTCTAAGCCCTTCCTCCTTCTCCCTCCCTGCTCTTTCAGGACCACACTGACAATCCCCAAGGGAAGCAGAGGACAGATGGGGAAGAGGGCAGGCTCCACCAGCTCTCCCTCAGTTGATTTCACCATGTCGCCCCAGGAGTCCAGATAAGGAGCTGCCTCCTGAGTCTCTGATAGCCTATGAGGATGCCCTTTTGCAAAGGGACTGCTGGTCAATATATGGATATATTCCTTCCACAGGGGATAGAGTGAGAGAGAGGGGAGGGACTGAGATTTACTGGGTGCAATAGAGATTCTCAATGTAATCACTACTCTTAAAATATGCCCAAGTCTCTCTGCTAACTGGTACCAGAGGAAAGTCTTCAGTTTGCAGCATGTGTGCAGGAGAGCAGGATACCTGGAAGCAGCCTGTGTCAGGGTGGTAAGTAACTTTGGGGAAGTTGCTTTGGGATTTTTATTGTTGTGGTGGGTTCAGGAGATTAGTTGCTAATGCTTGTTACAGATCAAGGACAAAAAGAGGGGTTTGTTCTTTATTAGGAGACTATAAATCAGCCCATAAACTGGGATAATATTTTGCTCTCTGGGATTGTGCATACTCCAAAGTTTTCTCTGGCTGGGCAAATTTTACTTATGTCCTCTCAGTAATTTGCAATGAACAGCGGTAGATAAATAAGGCTACTCATAATTTATATAGCCCTTTCTATCTTCAAAAGTACTGTACAAATGCCCAGGAGAGGTTGGTAAGGAGGGAGCATAGTGAAAAAGAGAAGGAGGAATTTCAATCTGTGTACATTTCAAGTTAAAACAATTTAGAAGAACCATGCATCCAGCTGATGATGGGTAATTGACCAGTCTAACTTTAGTAACTATTAAGCAGCTTCCTTTAGCTGGTACCTATTTAAGTGTTTATAGAAATAGCAGAGGCATGAGACAAGCAAATGCTAGCAAATACAAAGACATGCTTGTGACGAAAACGAACTCCAAATGGAAGAGACCGATCTGTTCACTTTATGACTTGCAGTCATCCAGTGCGCTGCAATAATAATGAACAAGGCTTCATTTTTTCTGTGTGTGTATATGTGTGTGTGTGTTACCAGAAAATTAATGACAGGGGATTCACAGGCTGCAGATTTCAAAAAGAGGTGCAGTATGACTTATATACACACGCGCTTTGTGAATGTCTTGGGAAAGTAGCCTGTGATGCCTTTTAACTCATAATAACCTTTACTATGTTTCTCTCCTCCACCCCCATCTTTAGGGTGAAGAATTAACCCTGCTCTGGTGCCATTTCGGATGTCCCAGTAAGAGCTCTCAGAAATGCCTATTGTCTCGGGAGGCAGCAACCAGGACTATAGTAATGTTAGCTTTGGTTCTTGTAGTTCCTTGAACCATCTATTCCCTATCTCTGTTGACACCCCTTCTGTCAAAGGGGTCCACTATCAAAGGGCCAGCAGGATTTACCACCCTGATCAGCTCTGTACTGTTGATGTGAAGAGGGAGATCATAATAAATGTTGGAGGAATCAAATACCTACTGCCTTGGAGCACTTTAGACGAATTCCCACTGACCCGGCTAAGCAAGCTAAAGTTTTGCAGCAGCTACGATGAAATTATTCAGCTGTGTGATGATTATGATGAAGACACCCATGAGTTCTTCTTCGACCGGAATCCCAAAGCTTTTGGGATGATCGTCAGCTTTCTAGCAGCAGGGAAGCTGATGCTCTTCCAAGACATGTGTGCCTTGTCATTCCAGGAGGAGCTGAGATACTGGGGAATTGAGGAATCCAACTTGGAGAAATGCTGCTTCCGAAAACTGTTTCAAAAACTGCAGGAGCTGGCAGAGATGCACAAGGAGGAAGAGATGCAAATGAGCAAGGAGACCACATGTGTCCTGGTTGAGGAAACACAATTTGGACAATTTATGAATAAACTCAGGGATATGGTCGAAAATCCCCAGTCAGGACTCCCAGGAAAAGTCTTTGCTTGTCTCTCCATCCTCTTTGTGGCCACCACAGCTATAAGCCTTTGTGTTAGCACAATGCCGGACTTAAGAGCCGAAGAAGACAGGGTAAGTAAGTCCCCTTTCAGCTAATATTACAACCCTCTATAAACCTACTATAGTGTTACAAGAAACAAACCTGTCATTGTTAAACATGCATCACAAAAAGATATAAAACAATCCTCAGAGAAAATCCTCAGGAAACAATATCAAAATTTGCCTATGTATATTATTTATTATAAATAGAAATAACTCCTGAAACTGACTTTGTATCAGTTTCAAAGTCATATTCAGTCACAAAGAATTAAACAAAGTTTTGTAGTGCTTGCCAGCCAGAGATATAGAAAAGGCTTTCTGAATGGAATCAAAGAAGTAAGATCATACAGTTAGCAAATATGCATGCAATTAGCAAATACCGAGTATTCAACATTGTAACACAGCATTCCCCCCACCTTACCCACAGCTTAGGAAAGCGTTGTTAACAAAAGTTATTTTATTTGCTGCTAGCAGGAGTCTCACACTCAGTCATAGCAGAGTTTCATCTACCACATGCTTTATCCTACCATAGGATCCACTCTGGTTATCAGCAATATTTCAATCGGACTTAGTGAAAGAAATATTTTCCCCTGCATCTTTATTTTTAAAAATAGCAAGTTGTCTTCTGTTGTGATAACTAGATCAACTCTGATGTAGTTATTGTTTTAGGAGACTTGAAATAATTTTTCCAGAACAATATTGTGTTACATTTTGTACAATGATAACACAGTATGATATACAAACAAACAACACCACAGAAGCGGAGTTTCAAAGTTTGCCTCCAAAATGGATGCACAAGTTTTGTGTCTGTAGTACCCTGCATTTGGCACACACAAAAATTGCAGAAACACTATTAAAGTGTTGCTGAAATTTTAACCCATTAAGTACATATAAACCCTCTCAAAACACTTCTCCAAAATAATTAAGGGCAAATAAAACCAAACTTATATCATATGTAGGAGAAACTTTCAATGTTTTAAAGATCTGTCATTCTAATAAGAAAAGAAATGGAGATAAGAATGTAATGTGATTTTAGGTATAATAACATCCAAACTACCACTGAATTCTTCCGCATGCTGTATTCCACAAATTGATTCTGAAAGTAACATGACACTTTTCAAAATTCTGACACCAAGATTAAAGAAACAAGCCACATTCATTTTTCCCCACTGATGCCATAGATAAGTTTATCAGTTTATTGTGCATGGCTTAATTTAACCATTTTCACATTTATTGCACAATATGCTGTGTCATTTTATTGTCAAAGTAGTAATTCAGAAAGGCACAGAATGCAATCACATCAAAGATATGTCATGATATTTGATGTCTTTCAATAAGGCTAAGGATTGCACAGAAGACTGGGATTTAAAGAGATCATTTTCTGTTCTATATAACCTTGAATTTCTACTTACATTTATATAAAAAGTTTGAATCCCTTCAGTAATATCTCTGAGTATCTAAGAGCCTCCCAAAGCTATTGCATTTTGAAGTCAAAATTGTTAAGATGTTTCAGTGCCTTTTCCAAGACGCAGCTTAAACACAGAGCATGTTTTTATGGCTATAAGCAAAATGAACACAAAGACTTCTATGGGAAATATTGCTTCCTATTAACTTTGTTCCTAAAAAAGAGCATGATGCATATTTTATCTCAAATTTAAAACATAAAACAAGAGAACTCTTGTCTAAGTATTTTTAAAGAAAAATAAAAAACACATAATTGGTGTATCAGATCTCAACGAGGTCTAATTTGCTGCATTTTTAAAAATTAACCCTATCTTTAGAAGACAAGAATTTTGAGCAGAGGGGTACAAATGTAGCTGGTAGTAAGATGCAGCAGCCTCACTGCAGCCAGAGTGTTCTGTAAAATAGAGCTGTGTGAATGAGCATAGGTTTTTTCATATATAGTCAGGTTTTTAATGTGTAGACACTTTAAAAAGCTGGGATTAAGACATAAATAATATAGAATCATAGAATTCTATCCATTCAGAGATGCTGCAGTATTTGAGAAAGAGTCTGCAGGGGAAGTGGGAGTAATGGGGTGAAGTTGAGCAAAGGATAAAGTTAGGGCTGCTCTACACTGGGAACTTACATTGGTAGAACTATGTCTTTTAGGGATTTGAAATATCCACACCTTGAAAGATTTAGCAATACCAACATAATCCTCGGTGTAGACAGCGCTAGGTCAATGGAAGAATTCTTCTCATCAACCTAGCTACAGCCTCTCAGAGAGGTGGATTACCTACTCTGACAGGAGAACGTCTCCTGTCTAAATAGTGTTTACATTCAAGCACTATAGCATTTCCCGTCTCAATATCAGAATCTATTAGACGGTGTAATAGCATTCTAGGGACCACGTACAAAGTTATAATAATCCCATTGTTTGACTCAATTTAAACCAAGATTGGCAAAGCACTTGAGAATGTATGGTGGTGAACTGACCTGGCTTGTGGAGGGACAGACTACAGGATTTAATAAGTATTTTCCTTCTGTCATTTCTATGAGGCTGTGAACTGACCCTATATGCCTAAAGCGCTGCAGCACCGAAGGTCTCCTTTCTGGGGGGCCTCAGAACAGTGTCTTATCTAGAGCTTGGCAAGTAACTCATAGCAAGTAATGTAGTCAAGAAATGTAGCTTCTTGGTCGTCGCTATGACTCATCCACCCACAATCTACAATTTTCTTGAATGTATTTGTTATTCAAAAGTATTCCCCGCATGACTTCAGTAAAGGGTGCCTAGCAGGGGGTATGTTCACCAGCAGCTTCAGATGAGCATTCAGAATGTGAAATTCTTGCTGCTCGGACTAGACACAAAGGTCATGTGATTTGCTTCTTTCCACTGACTACATGAGTGCAGCTCTTTGAATCAGGTTTCCGGTGTTAACCAGCAGCAACGTTCAGATCCAGATCTGAATTCAAAACAGTCCAAAGTTGAGGGCTGTTCAGTTCTGGGGTTTTGGCTTGGACCCACCTCTGACCAGAACTTTGCTGAAAGGTATTGTAAGGGTCAATTCCCCCATGTCAGGAAGGAGGGTGTATTGCTTCCAAGATAGCAATAAGAAAGATTTTACCTCTGTTGCCACATGTACCTCTCCGGGCTCCTTTCAGCATCCCAGCCACACTCCATAGTGTCAGAATTGGCTGCTCTCCAGTGCCTGAAGAAGGAAGAAAGCAAAAAGAGAAGGGGGAATAATACAAGGTGAGCTTGACTTCTGTCGGAGGGTTTGGCTGTCTCGGCACTGCATGCTCTGCAGTAACATTCCCTTCTCGCTCCAGCTAAGCATCCCAGAAATGGGCTGCCTGGGCAAGCAGAAGAAGAACAAACAGAACAACTTGCCACCAAAGGGAAAGCGAAAACTCGGGCTCTGCTGAGAGATGTGGCACTCAGCCAAGTAACAAGCATCTGCATCAGGGAAGCCCAGCTGCCATAGTAACAGGAGAGAGGAAAGGAAGGAAGGTGGCCATTTCTACAGAAATGTAGCAATAGGGAGGGGAGGACTTCAGGAAAGCAGACTTCGACTCCCTCAGGGAACGGATGGGTAGGATCCCCTGGGGGACTAACATGAAGGGGAAAGGAGTCCAGGAGAGCTGGCTGTATTTCAAGGAATCCCTGTTGAGGTTACAGGGACAAACCATCCTGATGAGTCGAAAGAATAGTAAATATGGCAGGCGACCAGCTTGGCTTAACGGTGAAATCCTAGCGGATCTTAAACATAAAAAAGAAGCTTACAAGAAGTGGAAGGTTGGACATATGACCAGGGAAGATTATAAAAATATTGCTCGGGCTTGTAGGAATGAAATCAGGAGGGCCAAATAGCACCTGGAGCTGCAGCTAGCAAGAGATGTCAAGAGTAACAAGAAGGGTTTCTTCAGGTATGTTGGCAACAAGAAGAAAGCCAAGGAAAGTGTGGGGCCCTTAATGAATGAGGGAGGCAATCTAGTGACAGAGGATGTGGAAAAAGCTAATGTACTCAATGCTTTTTTTGCCTCTGTCTTCACTAACAAGGTCAGCTCCCAGACTGCTGCGCTTGGCATCACAACATGGGGAATAGATGGCCAGCCCTCTGTGGAGAAAGAGGTGGTTAGGGACTATTTAGAAAAGCTGGACGTGCACAAGTCCATGGGGCCGGACGAGTTGCATCCGAGAGTGCTAAAGGAATTGGCGGCTGTGATTGCAGAGCCATTGGCCATTATCTTTGAAAACTCGTGGCGAACGGGGGAAGTCCCAGATGACTGGAAAAAGGCTAATGTAGTGCCAATCTTTAAAAAAAGGAAGAAGGAGGATCCTGGCAACTACAGGCCAGTCAGCCTCACCTCAATCCCCGGAAAAATCATGGAGCAGGTCCTCAAAGAATCAATCCTGAAGCACTTGCATGAGAGGAAAGTGATCAGGAACAGTCAGCATGGATTCACCAGGGAAGGTCATGCCTGACTAATCTAATCGCCTTCTATGATGAGATTACTGGTTCTGTGGATGAAGGGAAAGCAGTGGATGTATTGTTTCTTGACTTTAGCAAAGCTTTTGACACGGTCTCCCACAGTATTCTTGTCAGCAAGTTAAGGAAGTATGGGCTGGATGAATGCACTATAAGGTGGGTAGAAAGCTGGCTAGATTGTCGGGCTCAACGGGTAGTGATCAATGGCTCCATGTCTAGTTGGCAGACGGTGTCAAGTGGAGTGCCCCAGGGGTTGGTCCTGGGGCCGGTTTTGTTCAATATCTTCATAAATGATCTGGAGGATGGTGTGGATTGCACTCTCAGCAAATTTGTGGATGATACTAAACTGGGAGGAGTGGTAGATACGCTGGAGGGCAGGGATAGGATACAGAGGGACCTAGACAAATTGGAGGATTGGGCCAAAAGAAACCTGATGAGGTTCAATAAGGACAAGTGCAGGGTCCTGCACTTAGGACGGAAGAACCCAATGCACAGCTACAGACTAGGGACCGAATGGCTAGGCAGCAGTTCTGCAGAAAAGGACCTAGGGGTGACAGTGGACGAGAAGCTGGATATGAGTCAGCAGTGTGCCCTTGTTGC